AAATGAAAATGAACGAGAGAAGAATGAAAAGCAGGAATGAAGTAAAGGAAAAAAATGGAGAATGACTTAAAGGAGAAAGAAAAACAGAGCATGGGTTAAAGAAAAATAGAAAATAATAAAGAAATGGTGAATAATTTTAAGAGGAAAGAAAAATAACGAAATAAATGATGATTTAAAAAGGAAAATGCTGACAGCAAAGAAATGTCTGTAGAATTTAAATCAAAATATCTTTAAAAACTAAAGTAAGGCAAAAATGATGAAAACTTTAGTAAATGATTGTAGGAGCGAAGATTCTCGGCTGGACCATAAAGTCTCTTTTAATTAAACCAAACACAGATATGGACGCTTGAACTATTTCAAACCTTTAATTAAATTCTGTAATTTATGGAACGAACTTCTTGAACAGGCAAATTTTAAACACTATTCACTAATTATACAATGATGGCTTAGTGGTCAAAAGTTTTAACTGAACCCCTAAATGTCACCATTTCTGTCCCTTCTGGAAGGTTATGACATTTTTAAAACTATTAAATATAGCAGCCGAGAAACTGATAATTTGTGACAGAAAATACATATTTGTTATATTTTTTAGAAATACAACTTTAGAAATATTTAAATTATTTAGAATTATCCAAAAATATTTTTAATGCTGGTTTATCAACTTTCTCGAAAGCGAATATCTGGCAGGTATTTACAAAATTTGGATTTGTCTGGCACAAGATCACAAGAACGGTTATAATTATTTATAATGGCATGTTCTTTCAGGACGGAGGCGATTATGGCTTTTCACGGCTCCTTTTTTAATATCTGTAGATTGCCTTGCGTTTTAAGGGAAGGGTAATGGAGTTGTCTCCCTTTGCCTTCTCCACGATTGGCTTCACCTAGAGTGGCTATCATACAAAGTTAGGGAGTATATTCTATTTTTTTTCACCCCCAAAACAAAGGAGATAATGCCACTAAGACGCAAGGGACTAATGGGGGAGAAGGAAAAGACTTTAGAAGAAACTGGAAAACCAATCCTAAACAGGAAGCAAGGGATAAACCTCTACTCCTGTTCAAAAGACTGGGAAGGAGTGTGAACCGGACGAGAGGCGAACCTATCTATAATTTATGAAGTGAGCCGAAGAGATAGATATATATCCTTTCTGAGGTAATTATAGCGAAAATGGATGCAATATTCTTCCCTGGAATTAAAACTATTCTAGGTGATGCCATCATCAACACTACCTCCACTTATACACACGCACAGCGCGATAGATAAGAAAGAGACATATATACATAAGAGACCGAGGCACAGACGCAGAGATAGATAGATAATAAAGAGACCAAGATAGATAATGAAAAGAGCGAGAGTTCCATGTGCTATGTTTAATGGCCTATTAATTTCCCTCACCAAGTTCATTATTTACATTACTGCCTTAACCAGATATTGAACTCACACTCTTTGGGTCCTGTCACCGGATCTAACTAACGCCTTTATCCACTGTGCCATGTAACCTTGAGGACGTCAGTGCGTGATGGTATTATTATAAACCTAATGTCTCAGCAACCATTTTTACCAGTGCTCATATTGCAATTTTTGTTGTTATTATCGCTTTTCTCTGGCACTCCTTATTACTGGTTCCCATATTGTATTGATTTCTATGCTTGATCAGCTCAGGAGATTTTTGTGGTCTAGCATATGCGCTGATTCCTTAAGTTTACGAAACGCTGTAATAAATATGGCGACAAAGATGAGGAATAATAGTCCGAATAATGTAAATAGTGTACATAATACCTCATCTCAGAAATATAGACAGATACTAACAGTTTCTTCACTTGCACTTCTCGCTAGTGAAAATCTCTCCCGCCTTCTTGCTTCCCACACATCTTCAAAAATGTAAATGTAATGCCTATCGTTATCACCTGTCTTTTAATTTCCTCTTCCTTTATTGCTCTCGCAACATTTTTTTTCTCTCTTACTGAGTAAGAATCTTTATTGCCTTGCTTGGCGTGAAATGATTTCAAAGAAATAAAACAAACCTTATAATAAAGATACTTTCAAAGATACACTTACCTCAATTCCAAATTATTGTTATATTTGATATCGTTAATATTTAAAGGTCTAACAATCTGAAAAGTGTTATAAACGATGGCGGTAAGATGACAGTAATTTTATGTGTCAATGAAGGCTGGAAAATTTCCTCACTGATGGAGAAAAGACTTCGAGCAACAGAAATATAATTATACAGAAGGATACTGGGAATTGCATGAAGAGAACATGTGAGCAACGAGGGTGGGGGGTTAAGGAAATTTGGAAAAGAAAAATGACAGTTTTACTTAAAATCGGGTAGTTGATATTTCTTGGAATGTAAATCCACAAGAGAGCTTGGTGAATTTGAAACTACTATGGTATATTGAATGCAAGCGGAACAAAGTAAAAACATAAAGTAACATATCAAAAATGGCCCCACCACAGAGGAAAGAGTAGAACGGATAGCAAGGAGACAAACACTCCTTAGAGGCACAAACGATTGAACGTTGTGGAGGGTCATGAATCCCAGGCATCTTGAAGAGATACGGTTCAAACATACACAGTATGTATGTATCTATCTATCTATCCGTCAGTTCATATCTATCTATCTATCTATCTATCTATCTATCTATGCAACCGTTCACATCTCTCTCTCTTTCTTTCTCTCTCTCTCTCTCTCTCTATCTATCTATCTATTAACCGTTAGCTAGCTAGCTCCCTAACGGTTTGCATCTATCTATCTATCTATCTATCTATCTATCTATCTATCTATCTATCTATCTATCTATCTATGCAACCGTTCACATCTCTCTCTTTCTCTCTTTCTCTCTCTCTCTATCTATCTATCGACCGTTAGCTAGCTAGCTACCTAACGGTTTGCATCTATCTATCTATCTATCTATCTATCTATCTATCTATCTATCTATCTATCTATCTATCTAGTTCATCAAAAAACTGTCATTGACTGGTTATGAAAAGTGTGCTGAATTGCTAGTTAATATCAATCATCCTATATGGAGGTGACTGCTGGACAATTTCTTCAGAGAAGGTGAGGAGACTTAAGTCAACAAAATGTGGTTCTACAGAAGGATGTTAAGAATTCCACGGACGGAATATTTGAGCAAACGAGAAAGTTCCAAGCAAGATGGAAACCAAAATGACAATTTACTTAAAATCAGATACAGGATCAGAAGTTGTGGAGTGCCATGATCGGTCAGGTCTCGAAGCGAAACTGTACATAGAAAAAACCTATGTAGTGATTTTTCTGCCCATGCTGTCTGTATCTATCTATCTATCTATCTATCTATCTATCTATCTATCTATCTATCTATCTATTGGCTGTCTGTCTATCTGTGTTTCTGTCTATCTTTATCTTAATTTAATGTTGAGCTCTCTCTTTTTTATTGTTTGCAGTAGTTTCTTTGCTGTCCCTGTTCTCCTTAGGAATTCCTCATTTGCCACATGCTTTGTCCATAGTATTCTCAACATTTAGATGTGATATCGAATCCAATTTTCCTTGCTTTACATGTTTCTTTTCATATGGGAGGAAATCGGTTAGCATTCACTAATATATAGATGCTTAGATATTATACCGTAATCCAGCATTCGTTGTTTCGTTTCTAAAGATATTTTCAGATCACTTCTTATTGTGCTAATTTTCTTAAAGGCATATTCTTATGCATCTTCGGATTTTGGTATTAAACTATACTATATAGGTAGTTAAATTTTATAAATAAATTTATACTTTATAATAGCTTTCAAATGGATTATTTGAATTCAGGGTGAAGTGTTACATCTAAATTGATTGATTTGGCTTTTTACAGTTTATATTTTGTACTTTAAAGCTCAATAAATATTTTTAAGTTGTAAGAATGTTTTTAAAGATAATGACTTATTAATACATGTCATACTAATTAAGCGATATCTGGGGGGGATGTGGTGTATTAATATCTTTCCCAAGGTTATTTGCATGTAAAAGGAACGATGAAGTTTTAGAGAGAATGGGAACAAAATGAATAGAAAGAAAGAGTTGAGGTTTCCGGGCCATATAATGGGGAAGGAGGATTCAGAAAAGCTGGTCCTTACGAGACAGATAGAGGGCAAGAGGAACAGCGGAAAACAAGGCATTTAGTGAGATTGTGTAAATGTATGGCGGAATAAGATTTAAGAGAAATAATAAAAAGATTTATTAAGAGCTGAAAGAGACAGGTAGTTGTGGAGAGCCATAATTGTCTACCTCCTGAGAGGACACGGCACATAAAGAAGAAGAAGAAGAAGAAGAAGCTATAGGGAAAAGACGAAGAGTAATAGGAAGAAGAAGAAGAAGGAGGAGGATGAGGATAGGAAAAAGACGAAGAGCAATAGGAAGAAAAAGGCGAAGAGCAAGAAGAAGAAGAAGAAGGAGGAGGAGGAGGAGGAGGACGATAAAAAAGACGAAGAGCAGTAGGAAGAAGAGGAAGACGAACAACAATAAGAAGAAGGAGGAGGGGGAGGAGAATAGGAAAAAGACGAAGAAAAATAGGAAGAAGAAGGAGGAAGAGGATAGGAAAAAGACGAAGAGCAATGGGGAGAAGAAGAAGGCTAAGAGCAATATGAAGAAGAAGAAGAAGAAGAAGAAGGATAGGAAAAAGACGGAGAACAATAGGAAGACGAAGAAAAAGAAGAATAGGAAAAAGATGAAGAACGAAGACAAAGAAGAAGAAGAAGTAGTATTAGTATTAGAAGAAGAAGAAGAAGAAGAAGAAGAAGAAGAAGAAGAAGAAAAGGAAAAAAGAAGGGTTGAGAAGAAAAGAAAATGAATATAACTAACCCGACTGGAACTGGTACTCGGATTTCCAATTCCGAGCCGTTATCCATTACGCCACTCGTAAATCTAAATTTACCCATCTATGTAATGACCAAGTTCGACGTTGCTGAACTTCGTTGATCTTTCAATAACCAGTGTTTCAATGTAATATCGCCGGAAGCCCTTTTATACCAAACTTACAGCACCTGGTATTTATAAGCGGTCGCCCATCTAGTTACTGACCATGCTCAAAGTTGCTTAACTTCTGTACGAGAACCGGTGTTTCAAGGTAATATGGCCAACACTTGTTTTATATCACACATACATCCAGTTTTACAGCACGTGGTATTTAGAAGCGGTCACCCATCTAGTTACTGACCAAGCTCGACGTTGCTTTACTTCCGTGATCGTACGAGAACTGGTGTTTCAAGGTGATACGGCCGGAATCCCTTTTATACCATCCATACATCTGGAGTCTACAGCACCTGTAATTATCAAGCAGTCACCTATTTAGGTACTAACCAGTCTCGACTTCACTTCAGCGATCGCACGTGAACCGATGATTCAACGTGATATGGCCGTAAGCCTTTACTTTTAGAAACCAAAAAATCGCTTTCATTTATTGTTTTATGAGACCCCCCCCCACAAAAAAAAAAAAAAACAAACAAAAAAAATCCCCGAATGACTTAAACGATTAATCCCCACTATTATAATAAAAAAAATTCTTCTAGCTGACATGACCCTTTAGGGTTTGAGCGATCGTAACTCTCCACATCTTCTTATGACAGCTCTTTTTTGAGGCAATGGTCAAATAACTAAAGTTGCCGTTTCAATAAAATTGTTATATAATAGTCTAGAAGATTATTATTTTTTAGAGAATTGTATTTTTCCACTGACTTCCTCATTTTGACCTTTGAGGCCAGATACAGGAAAACAAAGGGAGTCGTTTTTGATTGGTTAAAACTAGCGTGGGAATGTTAGAGAGATAGAAAATAATTTCAGTTTTGCATATCCTACACAATAGACGTGGTTATTCCGTGTCTCGGGAAACTGGTTCCCCAGTGGAGGTGATAGAGTAGCCCCACGGGTTAGTTACACGTTGACGTGTTTAATAAAATAGATAAGATTAAAATCCATTTTGTTGAAGTCCCCTTTTATCTCCGAACAAAACAATTGGCGATCAACGGCCGAGAAAGAAGACGGCAACGTTATGATTGACTCATTACCGTCGCCCAAAGACCAGACCCCACCAAAGGGCTATGTAACATAATCAGCGTGGAGAAGGCAACAAAAATTACGCCACTATACGAAAAATCATTACAATATACAATATAAAATAAGTACCAAAGTAAAAATTATCAACATTGAAGGTAAAAAAAATAATCCTAGTTTATTTATTCCATATTTAGTTTTAATGAACACTGCGTAGATTTTCAAGATATGCGAAGGAAATATACAATTCAAGTATTTGCAGTGGGACTTTAGCTTTCAGTAAAGTCATATTTGGAATGCTTCACGTGTATTTGGAAGAAACGAATAATACATGCCTTCATCTTATTCAAGGTCTTTGCTTTCATATACTCTCCGCCATTGAGTACTAGAGATTGTTCCCATTTGAGGTTAGCGCATTTAAGATGTCACTTCAGTGATTCGACCGTCCAGAGGTTTGATACAAAGAATGCGAAGACACCGAGGCAAACCACAATGAAGATAACGAGTTTAAGTTCTCCATAGAAAATCAAATCACTTGATTCGTGTCCTGTCCAGTGTGAAGGGCCTCGGAGTTTATATTAAAATTATTGAACCTAAGCGGACTTCACAATTGGTCGTTTGGCTGAAAGGGTTACAAGAAGAGAAAACCTATAAAGATAAGTATGACATTTTGTTTCGAGTGACGGACACTTGAAGTGAATTCGCCCTGGAGAGCCAGAAATATAAATACACAGGCAGCTGCATATATATATATATATATATATATATATATATATATATATATATATATATGATACATATTGAACAATAAAAAAAAAAAAAAAAATTAAAATCTTTAGACACACTGGGTTTGTAGATTAATATTCTTTCGTTTTTTTATTATTATTTCATTTAGATTCCTCGACTAGTTTCGGCCAAAATGGCCATCACGGGGGAGGAGAAATATTTCTGCTTGCTGGTAGCAGTAAACTACAGAAATGAATGTCTTGCTGGAGAAAATGAACTTTTGTCTGTAGTTTCATTTGTTTTTTTATTTTTATCTTTTTAACATGAATCTTTTAACAATCCTTGGGTTGGTCAAACAGTCTCTTTTAAGTTGTTATTTGAGATAAGAGCTGGATAGATACATGCTACTCTGAATTCCCTGGTTAGACACTGTATCCACTTTATATATATATATATATATATATATATTATATATATATATATATTGTATATATATATATATATATATATATATATATATATATATATATATATATATATATATAATTAAAACTGCATGAGAAATTTAAAAAAAAAAATTGGGATTTCATCGAACTGGGCTTTGTTGATGTTGCTACAACTACACATACATACGAACCGAGACACGCTGGTAGTTTCAAAATTTTTGAAATAATATTTTTCAATCTAAGAAAATTCATCTGCATTGTTTTTTTCTTTTTCTCTCCATCACCTGTGTCACTGACAGCACAAAATCTACCAAAAA